CAAGCCGGGCAGCTTTCTTTTTTCTTTCATTTAAATTTTTATTGTAGTTTTTTTAAGATTGACATACACAAGTAATGTAAACAGTAGAACATCAGGACAGTGCAGAGTGCCACTTCACAATCATATTACAGATAACACATGGAGTTTCTCACTTAGGAAAAAGAAAAAATACAGGGAAGCAGCACATTAATGTAGGGCTGCAACAACTAATCGACATAATCGATTATTGAAAAAGTTGTCAACTATTTCAATCATCGATTAATCGGCTTCCGATTGGTTCCCCCTGTTCACGGCTCCACACACGCTGCGCGCCACACCTCCTCCCCACCTCAGACCCGCCCGCATCCATGCTCCACACGCCACACCTCCTCCCTGCCTCACGCTCACTGCCCGCCCAAATCCACTGTTGGCACAGGGACGCAGGGAGAAGAAATAAGGAGGAGCAGGTGTGGGCGGATGACAGCTGCCGATAGACAGGCCCCATCTCAGAAACAGGTTGCTGGAAGACCGCTCAGGTAAGCCTGCACTTTCCCCACATGGTGCTCTATAATCTGTGGCTTGGATAGTGCGATTTGTATTCCTCTATAGTTGATGGTACATTGTGCTGTATATTATACAGACCAATGTGCCATCAGCTATAGAGTGCTACAAATCCCAGCAATACATTATACACTGTATGTATAATGTATTGCTGGGATTTGTTGTATTCCTATATAGCTGGTGGTATTCTGCATTGCTCTGTATAGAGGACTACAAAACCCAACAATAGTACATTATAGAGCGCAATGCAGAATACCACCAGCTTTAGAGGACTACAACACCCAGCAATAGTACATTATACAGCGCAATGCAGAATACCACCAGCTATAATGTACTATTGCTGGAATTTGTTGTATTCCTCTATAGCTGGCGGTATTCTGCATTGCGCTGTATAATGTACTATTGCTGGGTTTTGTAGTCCTCTATAGCCGGTGCAATTCTGCATTCATTGCTATATAATTTTACACTTTTCATTTCACTATATTGCACACCACACTTTCTTTTTTTTCTTTTTTACTTCCACCGCTCCAAGCTTGCTCCTGTGATGGACTGCAATCTCAATACAAACTAGTAGTCCCATCACCGGAGCCATTTTTAAAAATGTATTTTATTTTCTATCCGATTAACCAACTAATCGAACTTAATAATCGGCTAACTAATCGATTTTGAAAATAATCGTTAGCTGCAGCTCTACATTAATGTACAGCGTGTTGAACATCATTGGAGGAAGATGGGCTTCTTCCTAGCGGCAAAGTGCTAGGCTCATAAATCTGCCTGATTGGAAAAGGTGTGGGTGCCCAGGTCTCTTTATATCGGATATATGGTAGAATGTTTCAGCAGCCCAGAAAGGGAAAAACCAGAAAAATAGACAGTATAGTGGACAACATAAGATATACAGCATCTTATATATGCATAAGGATAAAGACAAGAAAGACAGACATTAGAAGGAGTAGAATCCCTTACCTCAGGAAGGCAGGAAGTATAAGGAACGGTCACGGAGAAAGGCAAGTCTCAGGCTTTTATCTAGCCAGAGAGTCGCCGGAATTCGGCTTTAAGATTGGCTAGATACGACCTGTGTAGTGTAATGGGAATTGCTTGGAATAGGTATAGTAGTCTCGGCAGGATATTCATCTTGAGGAGAGCTGCAAAAAAAACAACAAAAGAACATGAAAGGGCCCGTCACCATCGCAGGTCCTGGACGATAGTCTCCACGATAGGTGCGTAGTTGAGACAGAACAGCTCCGCCTCACATGGTTATCCAGATCCTCCAGATGCCTCCACATGCCAATCAATGTTGCGAACAGTGCAATCTTGCTAAGAGTGGACGGACTGAAGCTCTTCTTCCTGCTTGCGGCCTGTCGGTTCTACTTCACGTAGGCAGCGGCCTATCTCCTGCATGTCTTTCCTCAACTCCGAAACCGCGAAACAGAGCGTCTCTTTAATGTCGGAGGCCACCAAATTTAATTTCGATCAGATCGGGAGATGTAGAAGGTAGGAGAGGTGTGCGTCCGGCAATCCCAGATCGTGGCCACGTACAGTCTGGTGGGGAGGATCATTGGAGGAAGGAGCCGGCGCCATGTTGGGAGTTGCGGGCCTCTGCGAGCGGAAAATATTGGGTACCTGCTTGCCCAGCTAGGTGTTCGAAGGGGCTGGTGGCTTTGCCGGTACCTGCTGTTGCCTGATTTTCCCCATGGCTGCAGGGGGAGGGCAAATGTAGTGTCATATGGGTCTCGGGTAGCTGGAGCTCAGTTAGCAAGTGGCCATCAGTCTCGCGGTGCAAGCCACGCCCCGCAGCTTTCTGGGGCAGGAGAGGGGTGTGTTGATGCCATTCATGTCAATGACACCGCAGACACACACATTATTGGCACCGTCTCCAAATTGCATGAAATAATTGCATTCTAAGTTTGTGATGCTCCTGTAATTTGTAATTAAACTCACCTGTATCAATTAACAGGTGCTGACAATATGAAAAAATCACACCGGCCACCAGTTAAAATAGTGAAAAATTGACTCAACCTTTCTGTTAAATGTCTCTGTGTGCCACATGGAGCATGGAGTAGAGCAAGAGCAGCAAAGAATTGTCTGAGGATTTGAGAAAAGAAATTGTGGAAAAGCATGGACAATCTCAAGGTTACAAGTCCATCTCCAGAGATCTTAATGTTTCTGTGTCCACTGTGCGCAACATTGGTCAATAAATTTACAGCCTGTGGCACTGTCGCAATAGTTGTATAAAAATGACACAATCCATAGTCATAGTTGGCATTCATATTAATGTTAGATGAGAATTTACATAGTTTATTTTCCTTAAGCCATTTGCTCATTGGTATACTATAGCTAATTATTATACTGGCACCTAGTGGTCATTTTGGGTATTGCACCATGTATTTCTGTGTTCCCTCCCATCTATGATGTATTTCCCCTCTCTTCATGAGACCTGCCTTTTCTAGTGTCATGCTGACAGTAACATGACCACATGTTAATCTGCATTGCATGCTTGGAAACATTACTATCTCCGACCTTCAAATACCATCTATTCATTCATCTGCTGTATCCTGTTGTCTGCTGTAACCCTGCTGCACCTTCATAGATGAAAAGGTATTTGGTGAGTTCAGCTATCTGATAAGGATTGTCCGCAGTGATTATATCTGATTATACAGGCCAGACATAGGAGGTCTCAGCAAGGGATAAATCGCTAATACAACAATCGGAGTCAGAATAGCACTTTAGCTAATCTCACTGGATGTGAACAACCGAGAACAATTGATCCAGGGGTGGGGGTAATCACAGCGCCACCCGTCTCAGCTGTCAGGAACTGCACAGAACATCTGTTCTATGTTAGAGGGCAGGTTCCATAAAGAGAGCCCATCACCTCAAAACTATCACATAGGGGCTTTTAAGCTCCTATGTGATGGGAATAAAATTAGGTGGGGAAAAAAGTAAAAAATAAGAAATTTAATTTTTTTTTTAAAAAGTTATAAAAAAGTACAAAATAATAAAATATATAAAAATTATAAAAAAATAAAAGTGATCAGCAGTTGGGAAAAGGAACCCTTCCAATCTGAGAGACCTGGAGCAGTTGTCGAAAGAAGAGTGGTCCAAAATTCCTGTAGAGAGGTGTAAGAAACTCATTGATGGTTACAGGACGTGATTGATTTCAGTTATTTTTTTTCCAAGGGCTGTGCTACCAAATATTAATTGAAGGTGCCAATAATTTTGTCCAGTCAATTTTTGGAGTTTTGCATGGAATGTGTCAGATTTGGGGTTTTTTTCCTAAACTTTTTTGTGCCATACCAATACAAACAAAAGAAATAGACGTGAGAATGCCCAAACATTTGTAATTGCAACAATTTTCTGTGCAAAGTGGTGCATTATCTGACAGAAATGGCAATATTTTTTACCATGACTGTATGTGAAATGTGTCACCAACAGCATAATCACTTGTGTAACATGGACCTCAGTCACTATAGCTGGAAATTACAAAAATATTAACATACATAATAGGGATGCACCGATATATCGGCCGCCGAAACATATCGGCCGAAAATTGCACTTTTGGCTAATTGCTAAGTGTTTGTTACACCTGGTCCTGCACATACTTACCGTATTTTTCTGCCAATACAGCGGCGCATCCCTGCTTTCTTTCCTCCCCGCCGGGCGCTGCTCTGTGTCACCGCGGGGAGGAAACTGACAGCCGTCCGAGCGCTGCGGGAGGAAAGCGCTGTGAGCGGCTGGCGTCTCTCCGCCCACATCGCTCAGCCTCCTATGACAGTCCGGCAGAGCGGTGTGTGGGTGGAGACTGCCCGCGCTGTCACAGAAGGCTGAGCTCTCCTCCCTGCACCGCTTGCTCAGCCTCCTGTGACAGCTGTCAGAAAGGAGAGTAAGCACAAACACTCAGTGATCACTGAGTGTTTGTAGATAATTGAGGACACAGTATGTTTACTATATCCTCAATTATGAATGAATGGGAAGTGATCTACATTACCTCCTGTTCATTCAAAGTTGTAGTTATAGTAAACAAACACACTCTGTTCTCAAGTTATGAATGAACAGGAACACTCAGTATAGAGGATTCCTGTTTATCATTGATAACTGGGGCTGCAGAAAAAGAGATTAAGGACTTTTTGTCCTCAATCTCTTTTTCTATTTTAAAAGGTAAATATTAGGGGTCTATTTAGACCACTAATAATATTTCCCTGAAGCCCCTAAAAGTAAAGTAAAAAATACAAATATTTAATAAAAAAAATGAATAAAAATAAATCTAAAAAATTAAAAAGGTTTATAAAAAAATAAAATATTTGAAAAAAATTTTTAAAAAAAAAACATTTTCGGTTTCGGCCTGACAATTTTTTTTATTTCGGTTTTGTTTTTAAAATTTCCATTTCGGTGCACCTCTAATACATAATGCTAATATCAAAATGTATTACTGTTTTTTTTAAGTAAACATTAGTTATGGGAATTACCTAGATTTATGATGTGAGCATCAGAGAAGCAGCATCCAGGATCAGCTCCACCAATAATAACTATTCTTCCTTTCCCACCTTCTTGATAAGCAGGTAAATACATACATGTCTGACCAACTCGTGGACTTGGAGCAGTTCCACCAGGTACAAAAGCATACCTAAAAGAAAATTGCATATGTTGCTATTTAATAGATATCCAACTCCGGGTACTTACAGGTTCTGTACTACTATATTCTCTAATGGTAATGCCTACAGCGGATTATCAGGGAAAGCAATTTTGAAATGGGAAAACATTGGCACACTATTTTCAGTGTAAAATTAGACAACAATTCATTGCAAATAGCAGCCAAATTACATAATTTTTAAACATTTGTAACATCTGCAAATCATGTGACAATTCTGCATACATTTGCAGCAATGTTTGAAATCACATTGAAACTGCAAACAAAAGTGTTTGTTACACCTGGTCCTGCACATACTTACCGTATTTTTCGCTCCATAAGACGCACTTTTTTCCCCCCAAAAGGAGGGGGAAAATGTGCCTGCGTCTTATGGAGCGAATCCCGACGCCCGAGACATGCAGTTTCGGGCGCCGGGCGAGTAGTAGGAGCCACTGCTCGTTTAATACGAGTGATCTAATGAGATCACTCGTATTAAAGCCGAGCAGCAGCTGCGGCGATCATGTTCAGCAGTAGGAGCCACTGCTCGTTCAATACAAGTGATCTAATGAGATCACTCGTATTAAAACCGAGCAGCGGCAACGATCGAGATCACCATAGAGCAGACGAAGAACGGACTTTCTTTGTCCGCTCTGTGTGATCACTGAGACCGTGGCGCTGTAATCACAGCGCCACCTGTCTCAGCGGTCACTAACTGCAGCTTCTGTCACAGCTTCTGTCATAGAAGCTGTGTCAGAAGCTACAGTCTGTCGAGTGCTCCATAAGGCGCGCCGGACCTCCCTGCGTCCTATGGTCCGGTGCGTCTTATGGACCGCAAAATACGGTATTTTAAGTGCACCTCCAGCTTTGCTGAGGAAAAAAAAAAACAATCCCATCACATTACCAAGACAATCTATACAAAATCACAAACCTTTGCTGCCATTTTGGTGTTTTTTGAACACATCATGATCCACATTTTAGGCTAGAAAATTAAATCCCCCCAAGATTATATATTTTTCTAAAGCAGAGACCCTGTAGAATAAAATGGTGGCAGTTGGAAATTTGTATAGCACAGGATATTGGCGCAACACTTTATCAAAAGAAAGGTTGCAAAGGAAAGACAGAAACTGGTGCTGGTCATCAGAAGGACAGACAGGGTAATCTGGCACTGGGACTGTGAGCATCGAACAGTATGTGGTTTACCACGTGCAAGGGGTCGACACATTGTGGAACAGATGGACAGGTTATTGGGTGGAGCTGGGGAAGACCCAGCTGTCATGGTACACATCAGTACTAAATTACAAAATTAGAGAAAGATGGAATGTGCTAAAGAAAGATTTCAAGGACTTAGGTGCAAGGCTAAAGCAACGGACCTGCAATGCAGTATTTTCCAAGAGGCAAGGGGAGATGAAGTGGCTACGGAACTGGTGTAGAAAAAACTGGAGGAAATATGGGGGGGGGGGGGGGGGG